TAAACTTATTATCCAGATGTGTTGCAGTTATAACTGTCAGGTATTCTTTCATTGACTGAGTGCACTGTCCTCTGCCAATATAACTTTGTATGGTCAGTTTTTACCCTTGTTCTTCAAATCAAACTTCTTTTTCTAGACCCATACCTGGTATCCTTATACCCCATATCACTTAGCAAACTACTTGTAATGTACTTTTATGACAAAATTCAATAGCCCTGGTTTGTATTTTCATAAATAATATTTTATATATGTGTGGTTAAAAATCCATAGTTGTAGTTATACACATTTATAGCCTATACTATAATTCTTCACAAATAACTGTTATACAAGCAATTATTTTTTTCTGCTGAGTTCATTATGGGAGTATTAATGAAATGTTGCTGACATAATGGATTCTTAAACAACTATCTAAAGTGAATTTGCTAAATGAGATCTTTCTAGCACCAATAATAATAGCTCCAATTAAAAAAAAATTCTGGATGTGAGCCAATAATGCCCAGCTTCATGTGGAATACTGTATCATATGGATTATGTTTTAGAGAAACTACAGCAGAGGGTTTGAACTAATTGAGCCATTGATGAAAACATGGAAATTTGCTAGAAAGGGTTTTCAAAGCCATAAAATTATTATAAGTCATGGAACCTTGATGACAATACATGATAGTTGATGCTAACTTTCAAAACAGTCTTTACAAAATGTTTCCATTCATATCTCAGGCATCCAAACCACCTAGGTCTTAGTTATTTGATCATATTTAAAAATATTCCTTGTACCATGTAACTTCCTTTTCTCCTTCCATTCAATATATACACATTATTTTGTTGTGAGGATAGACATCTGCCTTGAAGAACTTGTATAATACAAGAAGATAAACATGATTGCAATATAGCCTTAAAAATGCTATACTCATTGCACATGTGGCTTTTATGGGTGAAAAGGTATATATTTTTAAAAATAAAGGAATATAATGTTTATAAAAGAGATCAATAAAATGAGAGGATGTTTCATTCTCAGGCATTCCTCACATTCCTCATTCCTGTCTATTTTAGTTACCCACTAGTTTAAGCCTTAACCCCCTCAATATCGTAGTTTGGGCTAATATTGCTTGATGAACATCCGACCCCTATCAAAGGGCAGAATTTAGTGACTGATTGAAGCTGCTCATGTGTATTTTTTAGGGAAGGACATAATGTAGCAACTCCCATGAGAAAAAGCTTTGATTTTCTTCACTAACTGATGTCAGTAAGATGCAGCACGGCCATAGCAGCAACAAGGGATTACCATTAAATGCCTTATAGAATGTATTTTTAAGTAATCACTTATATGGGAATTTTAATTTCACCTTTTTGGTGATGATAACTTGGACCAACTAAGATTAAAAGTCCTAATTTGGAAGATGGAGCCCAATACTTTCTTTAAAGTGACTATTTCCTATAATGAAGGATTTCTGAAAGAGTACTCCATATTCATTTAGTATCTACTTGATGATCTTATTTGAACAAATATACATATCATTTCAAGATTTTTATTTGCCTTCTGTGGAGGATGTAGGAGTAAATGGAACAAAGAAAAAGTATCAAAGAAAGAAAACTTATTTGTGTCTATTATTATGATTCTAATTATTAGTCTAATTTTGAGTCTTGTGATAATTTTCCCCAATACATGAGCTGTTCTAAGCTGCTTTTATACAGCATGTTGTATAAATAAAAACAATGTTAAAACAAAGGTTTTTGGAGAGATGCTAAAGACTATGAATTTCTCAATGTTTTTCTTGTTGATGAATATTTTGAAAAAAATTTATTATTTTCATCATAATCACTATACCTCACTTCAAATTATTTATGTAATTGCCTCAGCATTAAATCAAAGCACTGAGTGGAAGGTAGTTGAAAAATGGAGATGGTTAAAAATAAATCAAAGAATAATATATTAGATTAGTGTAAAACCAGTAATTTAGGCCCCTTGGCACGTTTCAGAAAGCACCCTTTAAACATTACTAATTGCAAAATAACTGGATTGCCCACCTGCCATCATCACAGAGGCTTCTTGTTGCTCTCAATTCTGGAAAAGGAAAAAAGTTGCAGCTGGTCCACCACTGAGTTTGGCTGGGACTCAAGCAGGCCTACTCTGCTTTGCCCTTTTGCAATTTGTCCATGAAGACAGAACTATGCAAAAATCTACCCTCAGCCAGGCACTGTGGCACATGCTTGTTATCCCAGCAGTTCCAGAGGAGGACCACGAATTCAAGGCAACAGCAAGGCACTAAGCAACTCAGTGAGACCCTCTCTTTAAATTAAATGCAAAATATGGCTGGGGACGAGGCCTAATGGCCAAGTTCCCCTGAGTTCAATCTCTGGTAAATGCTCCCCCTACACACACAAAAAAAAGAAAAACAACCCTCTGTGTCTGAAGGTCACATTTGCAGCAAGGCACCTATGTCATGGTGGAGCACACACAATTTCAGGAATCAGAAGATACATGTTCAAGGCAACACTCAGACACCTATTTCCTACGATTGGATTTTAATTTCATCAGCTATGAGGAGAACATGATATTTACCTTTACACAGTTTTTGTAAGGAGCACTGAGCTAATATATATGAACTGAACTGACTTTTCCAAATCAAACTGTTATACCATGTAATTATTTATAAATAAGTCATCTCACTTCTAGGCATGGGAAACTGTGCAACTGAATGCCCAATGCTCATTGCTCCTTGTTCATTTGATGTCTATTTCTTCTGATGAAGTTCTAGTTCCTAGGTCTAGTTGATTTTTAGACCAGTTACCTATTTTTGCATTCTACAGCTTGCCTGACTTGTAATACGCTCCTGCATACTTCAAACCAAACTCCCTTGCCCAACTAATCTTCAAAAATGCAGAAAATGGGCCTAATGTGATTTATAAAGCTTTAAAAATGCTCAAAATGTATCTAAAATTGAAAGCATCTTCATGTAGGAAAGAGAAAGCAGATACCATTTGAACTTTTGAGACTTCTGAGAACCTCAGAAGAGTGGAGGGAGCAGAACCTGCACTCTCGAAGCTCTCCGGGTGAAGTTCAGTCTTCATTTACTGCTCATGCATATAAAATACAGGGTCAGTGTAGACCTAACTGCCTTATCTGCTTTATCCATGGAATGGGGGTTGAATTACTTACCTCAAAATATTATTTCAGGAGTCAAATGGGATCACATCTATAAAGAAAGATGTGCTTTCTATAGAGTTGATTATAAATATCAATTTCTGTTTTTCATATTTAAAAGAGAGCCATTATTCATTAACCCCTGGATTTTGGAAAGGACTTTGAATTTATTTACCATCAACTTACCTATGGTTACATAGAATAAAACTTAAAATGTTTTTCATGAGCTTATAAACTTATATATGATAAAACTTAATCTAAATAAACCATATGGGATTTTTAGTTAAGAGCAAACTATAAATTCTGATGGCTATTAACATAATTTAGTATATCTAATATTTTATACAATGTAATACTCTATAAAAAATATTTGTATGACAACATCTATACAATATATAGTATACATATTACATGTATATACTGTGTCTTTTAACACAAAAATCTTAATGAATGTGTGTTTCCATAACAGAATACCTGATGCTAGATAATGTATAAAGGAAAAAGGCTTATTTAGTTCATGACAATGGTGACTAGAAAGTCCATACATCATATTTCTTGGGTCCAGTTACAATACACGTGGTAGGGAAACAAAAAGGGAATGTACTATAACAGGAAGAGCAAGGTAGCAAGAGACTGGGTAAGAGCCTTTCATAACAACCAGTGGGAAAAATCTACTCCTACCAGACATTACCTACTTCCAGAAGACAGTATTAATGAACTCATGAGTATAGACCTCCCCACCAACCTTATTACCAAGCCCCTCCTCTTAAAGGTTCTACCACCTCCACATTGTCACTCTGGGACCAAACTTCTAACATATGAATCTTTGGGTTATAAAGCATATCCAAACAAAAGCAGTGGGGTAAAAGTATCATAAAGAGAAAAGCAATGAGAAGTTCAATTCAATGGAGACAAAAAATGTAGCTATAAACCATACATGATTTTGCAGTTGAATACAAGAATGAATCTATGGGAAATCAAATCAGTATGTTGATGAGACATCTGCTCACCTATGTTGATCATACTACTACTCATAATAACTAAGAAATGGAAGAACGTAAGTGTCCATAAACTGATGAATGAATAAGGAAAATGCAGTATATAAAGATATATTGCATATATTCCATTATTTATATATATAGAGAGATATATAGATATAGATATAGATGTAGATATAGATATAGATATATATCATGCATGAAATGTAGAATCTGTAATGTAATGTTTGGAAAAGACCAAACAATGCATGATAAATTACAATTAGGAGTAAAAAGTTCTTTTTTACTGTTACACAGCAGAGTCACCAAGGAAAACAATAATGAACTGTACAGTTCAAAAGCTAGAAGAATTTTTTTTAATTTTCCATAAATAAATTATAAAAATTCGAAGAGGTAGATACGTTTAACCTGATCTAAGCATTATACAATGTATAGATGTATCAAAGCATTACATGTTACCCATGTTACCCATTAGTATGCATAATACTGCTTTTTATCCATTTGCTAAAAGTAAATTTAATTTAAAAATGGAAAACAAATTAATAATACTTGATAATTGTTTTTAAAATAAACTATTTTGAATCAAAAGGGAAGCTGAATTACTTGGACTTTTATGATGTTCTCTGTCTCAGTAAAAATATAAAAGATCAATGAATGTATTTGTAATGTAATTTGATTTTTAACTTGTCTAAGACAAATAAGTCAGTGAAAGAACAAAACCTCAAATTCAGATTCTCAAGTTCCATGTCCAACACCATCAAGAGACCTGCACACTCTTAACTCTTTTGCATCCTAAGTGTATCCAATTAATGTGATTCTCTCATTTCACTTTCCTTTTGCTTATCCATGTTTTCACACAGGCAACTATGGTGAAAGTGGAATGGAGGCTTTCAAAGATATGTCAGCCAAGGAAGGGATTTGCATTGCCCACTCTTACAAAATCTACAGCAACGCAGGGGAGCAGAGCTTCGACAAGTTGCTGAAAAAGCTCAGAAGTCACTTGCCCAAGGCACGGGTGGTGGCCTGCTTCTGTGAGGGCATGACAGTGAGAGGTCTACTGATGGCTATGAGACGCCTGGGTCTTGCAGGAGAATTTCTGCTTCTGGGCAGGTGAGTAACAATGAGAAAATCCACATACAGTTAATGCCATTGTTTTGGCAGCATGGTATCTTTTGATGCATGAGGACAGATGCTTTAGAATTTTAAGCTGTTCAGTGGAAGTAGAGCTTAAGTATCATAAAGTACCAGTACTGAAGAAAATCATGGAAAATAAATAGATAGGCCTTGTACAGATTAATAAAGATAAGAGGAATGAACACAGAGAGATGAGTCCTTACCTCCTCAAAAATATAACTAAATGAGATGGATTCTTAAGTGCCTAGGTTAATATCTTGAGAAATAAACACATATCAAACTTGTTTCTGTTCCTTTTGAGGTTGATTATGAGGACTATATAGGTTTAATATGTAATATAGAATAATAGGATTTGGGGTTAAAAATAAGGAATTACTTTAGAACTAATTTTTAAAACATTGGTAAATTAACTCAAAATTTCCATATTCCAAACATGTTTTTACCTTTTCAGATTGCCTTGTCTGCATTGTTACTAGGAGAGTGTTCTAAAACATTAACTTTTACAAGGATTGATATTAATATCCAGAAAGTTTACTTGATTGGCACAGGTCAGACCCTTACCTGCTAATATTGCTGAATCAGTGTATTAATCAAGTTCTCCAGAGAAACAATCAAAAGTGAATGTATACACACTTTATAATATACGTATGAGGTTTTTTTTTTTTTATAAGGAATTAGGTCATATGTTTAAGGAGGCTGTGAATTCATAAGAACTGCAATTGGCAATCTAGAAATCTGGGAAAGCTGACATGTAGTTCAAGTCTGAGTAGAGGTTGAGGACTCCAAGAGCTGGCAGTGTTAAGTTTCAGTCTGAAAGCCACCAACCTCCAGACTCCAGAAGAACCAAAGTTTGACCCCAAATCCAAAGCCTGGGAAGGACCAATGTCCCAGCTGATGCAGTTACACAAAAACGGTTTCCTCTTACCCAACCCCTTCCTTCTGTTGAGGTTTCCAGTTGCTCAGATGAAGCACATCCACATGAAAAAGTATACTCTCAATCTACTGATTCAAATGGTTTTATCCAAAACACTTTCACAAACACAGGGATGATAATATTTGGCCATATATCTGAGCACCTGTGGCCCAATTGCTGCACAAAACTAACTGTTATGATACTTAAGTGGAATCTATAGTCTGAATGTGTGAATGAAACATTCACCCCTGAGATGCAACATCACGGTTTGTCAACAATGTGTAAGTTTCTACCATTCCACACTGTTTTAAGAGGTTACCACGCATCATATCATGAATTAAGAAGCAGCCAATTTAATGAATAGCAAAAGCCTTAGAAACCACTACCTTTCTTAATATTTCTGTCCACAGTAGAAACACATCTTATTTGCTATTGACTTTTGATGTCTTGTTAAAGAGAACATTCTTTATTTTCCAAATGCTTAACTGACCTTCTGTGGTCAAACTCAGCTCCTGCTTGAGACATTTTCTGACAGTCATTTTGTGTAACTAATTCTTTCTGTCTGATCTGATTGATGAGGCTATTTTGGTATGAGGTCATACATCCTTCATAAAAATGGTATTGAGTGAGGTTTCTTTTTCATCGATGTTATACATTTTGTCTAAAATTTTCCCTAGCTGGCAGGTGAAGCATCAGTTAGTTTCATACACACCAAGGATATACTCAGTGACAATATTCTCATTCCCAAATCTAGTGTTACCACTAGGGTTTAAACAACAGGAAAGATACTGGCATTAAGTATTTTATGATAGCAAGTTAAGAATTCTGCAGCTCCAATCTGCTGAAACTGTCAGTATTAAATGACAAGATTGGTAGTATTTACCAAAAAAATTGGTCTTTACTATATTTTCAATTTTCCATCTATGATTTTATTGCTGGCTATACCATAAAGTTAAAATTATATATTTAACGTATTTTAAAATTTATTCTTAATATACTAATAATGGGAAATGATCTCCAAATTATTTAATTCCTGCAAGAACAAATATAAAAATATAACCTTAGTTATATTTTTCAATCCCTTTATTGATTGGTTACATCATAGTTTACATTTGCACGCGCACTAGTTCATTTCATTTTTCAATATTTTTGTTAGAAAAGTCTTCTTTACTCTGAATTTTAAATATGACACTGCTATTTTCAACTCTTGGCTCATGTTCTTTTCTTTAAAAGTGGCATGTTTTACTCTTTCAGATATCTGAAAACCACAGTATGGTTCTAAGTTCCATTCAACTTATTTCTCAAACATTCCTACTTACTACAACCATCTTAGAGAGATGGTATTGTGGTTGTTAATGAAAATATTTTTCATAACCATTTATCAAATAGGACCACTTATCAAATGTTTTGTGCCAATTACTATGTTGAACACTTTACATACATCATCTCATTTAATCATTCATTTGAAAAGTATTGAGTGTCTCCCATGTGTTACACTGCTTATGTAATCAATGAATGAAACAGACAATAATTATTACTTTTATGGAGCTTACAGGTAGGAGGTAACAAATGCTATGAAAAAATACATCCAAGAAAAATCTGCATGATGTTTCATTTTATAGAAAAAGATTCTAAAGCTCAATAAATATTAAATAATAGTGCTATGGAAGAGAAAAGCAAAATTTAATAGTTGTAAGAAAAAAGAACATCTACCCTCTTTCATTATACAAATGAGAAGACTTAAACCCTCAAAATTTGGATGGCATACCTAGTCACATAATTTAAATTCCATGCCTCATAACCAAGTGATTTTCTTTTTTTTTTTTTGACATGTGAATTTTATTTTATTTTATTTTATTTTTGCCTTTATACATGTACTTTGTGGGGGGTTTTTTGCATTACAATTCTTAATACACATATATACCACAATTTGTCTATCTCTGTTTATATATAAAGTATGCCCCTGTGATTTTCTTTACTACCTATCTCCTGTAGAATAGAACATGTCAGGAGTTATAATTTGATAGCAAATTCCTGGTTCCATATTAGCCCCTGGGTCTTTGAAGTAGCAATCCTAGATAATTTTAATTTAAGTAAGTATTTTAATATCAAACTTCCCTTCAAAAAATTGTCATTTTACTCTGTAACTCCTCTTAGTTCTTTAAGATCATTTTGTTTACATATATTCTCCCAGTCTCTCTTGTCACCCCTTTTTTCTCCCAACTCTTGTATGAATGGTTCTGATGAACCATTTGAATTCTGAATCAATGGTATAATAAAAAAGGCCACTTCAGACTTCTCTAGAAGTTTCCATATTCTATTGATGTAGTTACTTATAAATTTCTCCAGCTGCCTTAGATCAGCCATGTTTAATAAGTCATTCAGCTAAAGTGTTTGTCAGGACTAAGACAACTCTGCTGCTAAGATAACTTCATCCATTATCACATCCAGCCATCTGTGCTCCACATCAATAGAACATTAGAGTGATGTGGACCTGGACACTGGGTCTTCCCATTTAAGGCCTGGGTATTCTGTCGTCTCATTACCAATAAAAATGCCTTATTCAGGTCCCTGAAATGGTCTTGTTAAACAATTTGGCCCTTATAGCAGGATGAGATCAATAATCTGAAAGAATACACTGCAGTCATTCTAGACATGGGAAAATATCATGTGAGATACATTGTTTATAATTTATACTTGTTTCCAAGCATGAACTTGGAACTTATTACTTTAACCATTCAAAGGTAGGTTTGTTTGTCTATGGTTAACTACAATATAAGTCTGAATTAAGAGTCTCTGTTCAATAAAGATTATTACCAAGCCACGGAAGGAAATGTACTTAAATTTCAAAAGTTTTCTGGAATTTAGAGTAAAATCTCAATATTTTTCAAAATAGGAAAAATGAGAATTTATACTAATAGATATTTTACCTATCAAGTTAGAAATAATTGTTCTGTTAAAACTGTCATGGAAGTTATTATCCAGAAGTAGATATTATTATTTATCCTTGAACCACTAGAATATCTATCTATTCTAAATTAAACCATTTGAAAACAAGTATAGTTGTCTGCTAGACTATTCAGTGTCATGAAAATGCAGGGTGGGAAAAATTATTTTCATTGAGTTTCAAGTGGGGTGATGGAGAGGGCGGTCAGGAGGGAGTGACAGAGAAAGACAGTGTCTCATTTAATGCTTTAAAGTGTTGGACATGTCAAAACTTAAATACCCTATTTTATAGGGGAGAAAACAGAGATACAAAGAGATTAAGTGAGTAGATAAGATTAAGATTGCACTCACGCATTCAGAGAATCACCAGCAAGACTTTTAGCTACATAAATATTTCAACACTATGATCAGCTCAGTTTCATTTTTGTGTTATTTCATTATCCTTTTAAATTAAAGAAACTAATAAAATGCTTTGATAATTTTGGATATGTTCATGATAATTTTATAATACAAAAAGCCAACTATATCCCAATTTGAGTAGATTTTGTTTATCTGCTCATCTACATTTATGGTAAGGAGAATGTATTAGTCATATAATGTTCAGTGTCTGAGTAGCCGGTTACTTAGAAGTATCTGCCTCAGACCACTTACAACGCTCTCTAAACAATGAAGTTGAATCCAGAGAATATGAGGAGCTTGTGTAAAAGAAGTTTAAAGAGGAGAGTGGAACACAATATTGGGCTTTGTGGTATTTTGATATTTATTACTTTGTTAGCAAAGACTTTTTGTAGGAATGTGAATATGATAAATACAATTTTCCAAAATATAATGGTGGAGCGTAAAATATGAATTAGAAGAGGTAAGGTGGATGCAGGGGAACCAGTGTGCCAACATAAATGGAACTCCTGTAGACTAAGGATGGTGAAAATGTGGAAATCTAAGACTTATTTACTGAGTAGAAAATACATGGGAGCTGACAATGTGTTGGATATTGTGAGAGAGTGTGGAAAATATGTCCAGAATGATGCCTATGGTTTTGTGTTGTGTAAAATGCGAATGATAGTTATTTTATGGAGAAGAAGGTCATTGAAAAAGAATCAAGTAAAAACTGGAGGGC